TAGGGTTTAGGGCCTTTAGGGTTGAGGGCCTTTAGGGTTGAGGGTTCGGTGTTGCTAACTTGGGGGGAACCAGGACTTCAGGTGTAGTGTGTTCTTTGATTTGTCGAAGCAACCTACTGCAATATGTGTCTTCATGCAGGGTCTTCGTGAATCGAAACCCTCAACTTGTGCCGTAAATCCACCCTAAACTCTAAACCCTAAACCCGAACCCGTTCTGTGACCGGTTGTGTCCGCCTTAAATACCGGAGCCAAACAAGCCCGAAATCTTAAACTCAAGGCCATGAGCTGGCCATGAAGCCTAAACCAGCAAGACCCCATATTTCTCTAATATGTCTTCGGCCGAGAACTCAAAAACTTACAGTTGCAAGGCATTAACGCACCGCACAAGAAAAATCAATAACCCCGAACCCGAAACTCAACTCCTCCAGTTGCCAACCAGCCCAAAATCTACAACCCCGATCCCAACAGCCCACGCAGCTCAAAATATGCTTCAAGCCAACCCTAAACCCGAAAACGCGTGCCCCCTGAACCTTTGCAGACTCTCTAAAGCTCCGTTGTCCACCCCTTCGAGACACGCGTAAAAAAAAAAAAAGCCCCACATGAGCCCCTACATTCCCTTACGGAACCTAGAAAAACCCATCCTTATGCAACCCTGACAGAACCCTTAAAGAAACCGTTGAAAAAGAAACGAAGGCCCATAAAGAACCCTGAAAGAACCTGTAAAGATTCGATGAAGGACCCTAAACCCTAAGCCCGAAACCCGAAACCCTAAACCCTAAGCCCGAAACCCGAAACCCCAAACCCTAAACCCTGAACCCTGAACCCTGAACCCTGAAAAGGCCCTGTAAGAGCCCTTGCACAATCCTCGAAGATGCCTCTAAAGACCCTGACAGAACCCTTGAAGAACCTAAAACCCCTAAACCCCTAAAGCCTAAAACCCTAAACCCGAAGCCCTTAAACCCTAAGCCCTAAAATCCATAAACCCGAAAATCCCTAAAAGCCCTAAAACCCCTAAAACCCCTAAAATCCCTAATCCCTAAGATAAACCTCTAAACCGAAAACCCCCCATTTCCGTACCCGGGCGGCTGAAGGCCAGACGGCGCATGGAAGTCGCCGGAGGGCCTCGGCACCTGGACTTTGAGGGGTTTAGGTCCCAGGAGTTTAGGGTTTGGGGGTTTAGGGTTTAGGGTCTAGGGCTTTAGCGTTTAGGGTCTAGGGCTTTAGGGTTTAGGGTTTAGGGTTTAGGTTTTAGGGTCTAGGGCTTTAGGGTTTAGGGTATAGGGGTTTAGGGTTTAGGGTATAGGCATAGGTTTTAGGGTTTAAGGTTTAGGGTATAGGGTTTGGAGTTTAGGGTTTAGGGTCTAGGGGTTTAGGGTATGGGGTTTAGGGTTTAGGGCTTAGGGTATCTATAGTCATGTATAATTGTACTATATCATACCCTAAAACCCTATTCTAATTATCATGGCTCCTACAAAACAGGCCCCGCAAGACCCAAACCTTATAGAGCCTTGTAGTATCTATATTACCCCATTTACACCCCTACAGGCGCCGCCATCTGAAGCGGGCTGGCATTGCCTTGCACTGTCTTGAATCTCAACCTCCGCTTCTTGTTGCTTTTCCTACTCGCGGAAATTTAGGGTTCATGTAGGGGCCTTATATAATTGTTAGAATAGGGTTTTGGGGCCCATTATACTAAAACTATAATCAGGAACCCCCAAAATAGTATAGGTAATTATCCAGGCCCTTATATTAGATGGGGCTAGGTTTCAAGGTTGAGCCCTTCAACCTTGAAGGGCCGTGCCCTACTGCCAGGAAGCTCCTAAACCCTTAAAGCCCAAGAACCTTTAAACTTGAAACCCTAAAACCAGAAGCTCACCTAAACCCTAAACCCTTGAAGCCCTATAAACCCTAAAAACCCTAAACCCTAAACCCTTGAAACCCTATAAACCCTAAACCCTAAACCCCAAACCCCAAGCCCCTCTAAATCCTAAACCCTAAACCCCAAGCCCCTAAACGCCCCAAGACCCATGGGCCCGGGCCGGCCCGGCAGGCATGGAAGCTCTGCGACTCGGCCCACGGGCTGCAGGCTGTAAAGGACCCTCGCGGATGGCCTGATGTACTTGGAGCTTCATGGGTAGATATAAGTGGAGTTAGGGTTCAGGGCTTAGGGTTTAGGGTTTAGGGTTTAGGGTATTTGGAGGTTCATGTAGGGTTCCTTTTAAAGGTGCTATAGGGTATAGGGTTCAGGGGTTTAAGGTTTAGGGTTTAAGATTTAGGTTCATGGGTAGATATAAGTGGAGTTGAGGGGGTTCCTTTAAGGGTTCCTTTGAAGGGTTCTACAGGGTGTAGGGTTTAGGGTTCATGGGTAGTTATAAGCGGAGTTATAAGTCCCATAATAGGTTGTAATTATACTTGCCCTACTTATAAGCCCAACTATAACTACCCATGAACCTCCAAGTAGGGGAAATGACCTTGGGGTTTATGGCACGTAGGATGGTCTTCTCATCATGGTAATTTGAGCCAAAACCCTGAAGAAGAACCAGTTTATGGTTTTGGTTTGGGGTTTTGGGGGTGTCAAAGCTTTTTGGTCCTTTCAACACACAGTTGTCCTTACTTTATTCCTGAACTTTTTGTCCCAATGCCCTGCATCCTCATTGAATTTGGTTCGAAGGGCTTCACATAACCAGACCGGGTATTACTTCCTACTCCCTGGAGCATAACTATAGCAAGGAACCCTAAAGGAATAGTAACTGCTAATTCTTCAGACCGCTTCATTGGGTACTCAAGCCCTTGAAGATCCCCTCACCCCACCATGAAACACCAGAACATCAGAAAATATGTGGACAGGTGGACAGCTAGCTTTAAACCCCGAGCCCCAATGTCGATTGATCTGCTCAGGGTTCGGGTTTAGAGCTCTGGGTCTTCGGTGTTTACCGTTTAGGGTTGATGGCTCGGGATCCTTTTATTGGGTTCTGCGAATGAGCTCTGCCACCACATGTTCTGAAGTGCAAGCAGGGCTTATTCTGGCTTTAGGGTTTAGCACAGCCTTTAGGGTTCAGGCTGCCAAAGCTTCAAGTCCAGGCTGTCCAAGACTTTGGCATGTCCGCCTCTTTTTGCTCCAGCGCAAACGCTTGTCGCAAACATCTCTGAGAGAAGGTATATGCATCAGGGCCTGTGTACAGTCCAGACACGTCTTCACATGCGGAGCTGCACAAGGACACCCTTTGGCTCATCGCTCTCTCTCCCGTACGACCGCTGCCCCTGACCCAGCAAATTTCGCATCAGTCGACATCTTACTGCAGATCTTACCCTAAGCCCTGAGCCTGAAGTCATGCGCCTACTGCCTACGTACACATACCCGTCCACACACCATTCCAAGCCTAGCCTTTTAGGAGAAGGCAAGACCGAAGCTGGCAAATCCATTGCATGCACTACCTACCTACCGACAGAAGTATATACATATGCGTGTGTATATATATATACACAAACATGAACACAACTATATACATACATCTATGTATGTTTATCATCTAAAATTGATATTTATACAATACGTGGCCATATATCTGGACAAAACCTGCCAGACGTGCAAGCAAGCATACAGACTAGGCATAGTTGTATTGACACTCGTGGTACAAACATAGGCAAATTTGCAGGATGCTGGCAAACATACAGACCGACAGACGATGAATGGGTAGGCCAGTAGGCAGGAAAGCGGATGGGTGAGTGGGTGAGTGATAAGGTGTGGTGGCTTTCAAGTCGTGCCGGAGAGACAAATGGACAGGTAGACAAACATGTTCATAGGAAAAGACATGAAAAAACAGATAGTGCCATTGACAGATTTCAATATATTGCGGTATATAATGGTTTCTTGCATATCTGATAGCACATGCCAGTATATTATTGTTACTCTCTGTTTCATCCAAGAATATTCTTGTTTGTGCGTATGTATGTAGAAAGCGGCCATACTCGGGTGCGAACAGGTGCAAGAGGTGATATAAATGCCACTGCTAAATTCGTTCTACCTTCGCTACTCTATCTATCTTGTATGTTCTATAACAGCTCAGGGTCTAGGTTTAAGGGTGGGGGTCTGAGAAAACAGTGTATATATTAAGTACATGCATATGTACCTATATATATATAGATATACACACAAATGTCCACACACACACATATATATATATATATGTATATATGTATATATGTATGTATGTATGTATGTATGTATGTATGTATGTATGTATGTATGTATATATACATATACACCTATTGCTAGCACTGTCGACCGTACACGGTAAGCCTTCTTGTCAGCGGCGGACGGGGGATGGAAAGGATCTCCACAAGTTGTCCTGCAATCTCAAACTCTTGGTCGGAGAATTGGACTTCAAAAACAAGCATGTACCGCAGCCATCCAGCAATCCCGGACGGTGCAAAGTGATGAATATCTCGCCACCAAAACGGGCTAATATAGGGGCCTTTAAGACTACGAACAGTATCCGCAAATAGTCCCCAGACAGCTATGGAATAACAGTATATTCTTTCCCCAAACAGCCCCATATATACTAGTTGTTCCGACCCCCATATTATCCCAAAAAGACCTCCGCTGCCTTTCGAGGTGAAAGCGCCCCATGCCCTCCAGGCACGGCGGCCTACGGTAATGGCCGACATGGGGTGTGTGAAAAGCTGAGGGTAATGGGACTTATAATTGGGAGCTAGGATTAGGGGGACCCTTGGGGATAGAGACCCTCTCAATAAGGTCCCTTGTAAGAGAGCCAAAAGTAGGGTTCAGAAGGGGTACCCTTTAAGGGGTACCCCTAATAATACTACCTAATAATTGGGGTACTTATATCTGTACTTATTAATTGAGGGTCTAGCGAGTCGGCTCTGCATGATTTCGCGACACCCCGTTGCGGCCATCAGCATAGGCAGGCGGAACTTGAGCTGAGCATGTACGGACGAGCTGCTAGTACGGTCTCGTCTTTCCGCGCACTTGAACCTTCCCGGCTCGACCCAACTGAGTCTGCCCAAGCTCGCTTCGTTCTTCCGTGAGCCTACGAATATTGCATCTTTTGCCTCAGGGCATGCGCAGCTGATGACGGCTGATGGGGGATCAAGGCAAGCCTACATGAACAAAACAGTTCTCTACAAGTCAACGTCCCACGTTCTTGCCGGCTTGGAACGAAGACTCGGAGACTAGACAAAACAACAAACGTTCAGATCTTGCCGCACAGACGTGTGTCGGCCTTGCAAAAATAACTCGAAGCTGAATTCGACTTAAAGTCCCCACAGGGCGAGCTCAACACGTGCCACACTGCCTCAACAGTTGTGGAATCTCTTGCTAGATGCAACACCGCGACAGCGACGACTTCAATGTATTGACCCACACTAAAGGCGATGCACTCACAAGCCACAATCTCGATTCTTTTCCCTCGTGGCCGTAATTCCGGGCCCGCCCTGACGGTGCCTGAGGCGCACGCTCTCCGAGCGTACAGTATAGGCTGGTGCTAACTTCGTGCCCTTTGCGCTGGAACCCCCAGGTTCAAGTAAAATTTCCTGCGAGGGTTTGGGTTGCCACAGAAATTGCGAAAATGCATCCAACCCCTGCGATGCATTCAACTAAGCCTTGGGTTCAGGGTAGCGCATCCAAATACCTCCCCCCCCCCCACTTCCCAAACAGCTACACTACTCGACAACGAAGCAGACACTTGGTGTTCCATTGGTTAGGTGCGGTTAGGCATTGGTTGGCACAACTCCGGCCCGTTGTTTGCGATCTATTCGTGGCAGCACTTGGCAAGCAGTGTAAACATTGGCAGAACCGGCGAGCATTCAGCCACAACTTCCCCACACCCTCACCGAACAAATCCAGGCTTCAGCTTTTGGAGGGTGGCGCCGGTGCCGCCGACCCGCGTGATACGTACATACGCTTGCACGCAACAAAATGCTATCTGTGCTGCAGACGGCAGATGTTTACAGCCAGCAAGATACACAGACTATGACAGAGGGAAGAATGGACAGGCACGGGAAAACAGTGCCCGTGCAAAACTAGGCGCGTGATGTCCGTCTCCAGCTATTCTCATCGAATCGAGCACAGACGAGACTTACAAGTTTCTGGCGTTGGCTTTCGGTGAGCCCTAGTGTAGGGTGCTTAATAATTCGAACAGGGTTTTGGGGTAAGGAGCCCCAAAATAATCTTGGTTATTTTTTAGGCCCCTAAACCCAAAACCCTAAACCCCTAAACCCTAAACCCTGAAACGAAGAAATAATTCTGGTAATTATTGAGGCCCCTGTATTCGACACGAAACCCGTGAAATTGGGGCTTCAGGGTCTCGGGGCTTGCAGGCAAAGGGACACGAAGCCGTCGACAAGAGCTCATTGGGTTCTTTGTTCAGGATGTGTAATGAACCAACCCTAAACCCTAAACCCTAAACCCTAAACCCTAAACCCAAACTCTTCAACAAGAACTCAGTGGATGTGCGCGGATATTCCGCTGCCACGGCATCCTAGATCTATCAGCTTCGGGGCTGCTGAACGATGCCTGTCTGGAGCTAGGGGTTTAGGGCTTCAGAGATTTAGGGCCTAGGTTTGAGGGTTTAGGGTTTAGGGTTTAGGGTTTAGGGTTTAGGGTTTAGGGTTTAGGGTTTAGGGTTTAGGGTTTAGGGTTTAGGGCTTCAGAGTTTTAGGGCCTAGGTTTGAGGGTTTTCGAATTTGCCGACCCAAGAGTAATCAGTATTTTGACTCGGAATAGGATGCTTCTTCAATGGTCGATACAGTAGGGAAGCCTTTGACTACATGCTTGGACCCGACCGAGCTAGCTTTGGTTGTGATCCCACGGACAAAAGACTGCCACCTATTAGAGCATATTCTAGCACACTTCAGTAGATTCTGGCTGGTGTCGTTTGTTACAGCCAGTTGTTATATGTGGCATTGCAAGGCAACCTGTGAGCATGCCCATCTACACATCTACCCATCTGTGAACGAACTTGCCTATTCAACTATCCTTTGTTTCTTAGAAAACTGAACGAACTTACCTATCTTTAAGATTGGCACGTGTTTAGAATTGTACCCGGTTGAAAGCAACTTCGCGCAAAATCAAGAACGTCTCTCCACACTTCCATGTTACTGCATCCATGGAAGCTACACTTTCCGTGCTTCCTTCTGCAGAAACCCTAGGCTCGTAAAGAACCTGCCTATGACTGCCTCTGCTTGCATACATACATACATACATACATACATACATACATACATGGTCTATCTAATCCTCTCCTCCGTGTAGGTACACGTAAATTGCAACAGTACCAAGAACAACGAAAACAACATAATTCAGGTAATCATGTATGTAGTTCGCTTGAATATGTACTTGTTCGCTTGTTTGTAGCTAATTTCGTGTGTAAATGTTACAACGCCGTATTGCGACTCCCACATACATAGAGAAACAGATACGGATAACATGCAAAAAGACAGACCCACAGCTTTTCGTGCATGCCCTACATATACCAGACAACTAAATGAGCGTGCAGCCACACACTCTCATGTGCACATATATATATATATGTATGTATATGTATGTATATATATATACATATGTGTATATATATATATATACACATATACACTACATACAAACATACATACATACGGGCATACAGACATACCGTCATACAAAACATACATACGTACATACATACATACACGCACATATATATAGATATATAGACATACATACATACATACATACATACATACATACATATGTGTACAAAAACACATGCTTAAACTGTTTTTATCTCTTCATCTACGTGTTTGCGTGTTTGTCTATACCGTTGATGTCTTTAAGTACTCTATCTTAACTTTACTTTCATGCGTGTAGGCAACTGTGGACAGAAGCATGTGCTATTGGGAACCAAAATCTCCGCCGTTGGGAAATTGCGTAGCTCGATGCATAACTAGATGCAGGTATGTCTACCTGTCTAGGCGTCAGCAACGGATCCGAAGCTTAGCTGATCGTGCAGCATCCCTGCTCGCTGCCTAGCATCTGCCTTTGGAGCCAGTCGTGCTCCATTGCGGCAGCTGCTGTGGGACGGCCCTGCGACTCCAGCGATAGCATGCCTTGCGCAAGGTCGAGCGCTCCTGGGCCCTGCAGCTTCCAGGCTTCCGTGCTTTTCAAGCTCAAGGGTGTCTGTTCTAGGAGCTCAGTGAAATGGTTTTCCTTGGTGTCCACATCCCTCCAAAGGCGCTGTCCCGTGACCATCTGGTAGAAAGTAACTCCGACGCTCCACACATCGCAAAGCTCTGAGTAGCGTCCCTGGACCACCTCCGGGGACATGAAACCGGGAGTACCACAACATTTGGTCAAGAACCCCCCTTGGAGTTCTGTGGCCAGGTTGAAGTCAGCCAGCTTGAGCTGCGGGAATTGAACGCCTTTCGTCACAAGAAGCACGTTCTGGGGCTTGATGTCGCGATGCGCGATGCAGTAGAAGTGGAGGTACCGCACAGGGTCAAGGATTTGCCACAGGAGCTTTCCAATCTGCCTCGATGAAGGGCGGTGGTACACTTCCTGCAAGAGAATGAGGGTTTAGGGTTTAGGGTTTAGGGTTTAGGGTACACTTCCTGCAAGAGAATGAGGGTAGCCCTGAATTGTTCAAGTTTCACTACCTACAGGTCAACAAACCGTCCTTCATCCGTTCATCCAAACCTACATGCAGAAAGACAGACAGACGGAGAGACAGACAGACAAATATGTATACATATATATATATATACATACATATGTATATATATATATAGATACAAATATGTGTATATATATATATGCAAATATGTATGTATATGTATATGTATATTTATATGTATATGTATATGTATATTTATATGTGTATATGTATGTATGTGTATGTATGTGTATGTATGTGTATGTATGTATGTATGTATGTATGTATGT